TTTTATCTATTTGTTATATTTTACTTTTCATTTTATATCTTATTTTAGTATATATATAAATGGACTGCTTCTATATCTGTGGTGACTGTCTTGCCTGTACAGATTGCTTGAGGTAATAATAAATCAATCAATCAACATAATGACTGGATGTGGGTATTCCATTTAATGTTTTTTATAATCTGTACCTAAAAATCTCAGTTCCGATGAGTAAGCAATTTCCAAGTTATAATAGAGTATCTGCGGTCTAAATACAAACCTACTTTTGTTAAGATGGAATGACGTAGCAACTGGTTTCTTAATATTTATTAACATGTTATTTACCTGAAACCATGTTTCAATCTGTTTCATGATCTTATTTATTTTCTGTTGAGCTACATCTTTATCTTTATCAATAACAAGTACATTAATATCATCTGCAAACAATACCATTTCTGCACCTTGTACATTTAGTGGGAGATCATTTATATACAGAAGAAACAGTAGTGGTCCCAGAATTAACCCCTGTATTGTTATTGTTGGCTTACCACCAAAAGGCCTCAAATGGTAATCTGAGAGACCAGTGTAGCTGTGACATTTAATACAAAGATATAATAATTAATGTTATTCTTCCAGTTATGTAAATCACATTCAGTGCATTCATCTGAGAGCTACCCAAAAATGGGTTTTTCAGCCAGGAGGCAAGTGATAGCGGAATTAGCAGACACATTCAAATTCTTTTCACCATAACCTGAGTGTTGAACAGCTTTCATGATGCGAAATTATGCATTACGTGCCAGGTGTTGTCTAAAATGGTTTTAATTTTAGGAGTTGTGTGGCAGTTCATGCTAACATTTTTTTAACCAGGTGTTCCGGACAAGGCATCTGAGGAATTTTCAAGGAAAATGGCCACTCTTTAATGGAGATTTCATCCAGTATCTCTTCACTCAGTGATTAGCATCTTTGTTTAGTTCCTTTCTTTGTTCAGTAATGACTCTGTCTTAGGTTATTTACAGTTGTTAAGAAGGTTATTATTGGAAAGAAGACTCCAAATTTTGTTACAGTTGTTTCAGTAGTTCCTATTTGGAACTGTAGCATCTTCTCAATTATTTTTATACAGCCATCCCATAGATCATACATGAACAGTCATTTCAGTGTGTAACTCTCACATAACATTTCAACGCAAGAAGCAACTTGACTGACTGAATAGGGTATCAGAATTACAGCCAGCTAGCACATAACACATCATGACAGCTGTTCAGTGATTTAGTGGGGTCATATTTCAGAGATATTGTAATGTGCTTTTGGTTTCTTGAGCCAGCTACCAGTCAGCCTGTGTCCATGTAAGGATTTTTCTTTCATGCCTAAGTGGCTGGACGGTATTGATGTACGTAGCTCTGGTATGATCGCACTGTGTAATATAATTTTCTGTTTCAGGCAAGACGTGTTTCTGATTGGAAAGAAATCTGAAAATGATAGAGTGCAGAAGCATGTTGAAGAGTGCATTGAATGGTTAAATGCCTACTTCAGAGATGTCAGAAATGTCATTTCTATACACATGCCTGACATCTGTGTCTTTACAGAAATTGGTAGGCTGCTTTATTTGTATATCAAAACATTGATGTATCCACAGTTTTCGATTTTAGGGATCTTTTATTAATACCAATAATACTGTATAATGACACATTTTGCCCTTGTGTTACATCATTCATTTATTTTGTTGCACTGTGAATTTGATATGAGAGACCTTGATCAAGAAAATATTATTTTGTTAATTAAGGCTCCTTTTTGTTTTATATTTTAGTGTAATTTCCAAAAATATTAATTTAAACCTGTTCATGTTACAGAAGTGCATATACATCCTTTAGCATGTTAGATTAGATTAGGTTAGGTTAGACATACATATGTGTATGTCTTTGATGCTTCTTTATTCTAAATCAGCCAAAAGAAGTGCTACATAAAAAGGGTTAAAAATGCAGTGGAAAACAAGACATGCAGCACAACACACAGCATGAGGAAATACAACCCACCACCTCGAGTTACTGACACATGTGTGCATTGAGGGAACTTAATATATTAACAGCGTAAGAAATGAAACAGAAGACAGCAGTTTCCTCATCCAGTAATTTTAACTCCTGATGATAACCACATTGGTCAAAACATATAGTGGAAAACTTTTGAAGTGAATATCTTTTAATAAATTTTATGGAACATAAGTGTTGCATGTGAGACTGTAAAAAACTAATTATCACTAGGAGAAGCAGGTACTGAATGCAAATTTTGGCACAGTGCACAGTGTTTTGTAAATAGGCAAGTTTATATTCCATTTTAATTGGCAGTTTCCTGAGGTATTTACTTTTGCCAGCCACAGTTACTCCTGTACTGGATGGCCTAGAAATATATGTGTCCTGTAGCAACTCTCCCACAAGAGTATCAGGAACCTTCACTAAAAACCAGGTCGTTGGTTTAGTATCTATTTTCTTTATAAATTGTGTAACTATTCAGGATCATTCATAAAAACATATTAATGAACATCCCCCACCCCAGTACTTTACTGTCTTGTATTCAGCTAATAAAGTTGGAGTGTCATGATTGAGTTGGTGTTATTACTACCCATAGTCATTGTAGCTCAAAATTGTGGTAGGCTTTGTCACAGTCTGCTGTTGACCATTGTGGGTGTGAATTTTGAAAATCCTTTGCTTTGCTACAAGTAGAAAGTGTAACAAAGGAAACTAGATATCTTTTCCTGGAAAGGAAGTGTGAGAATTATTCTTTTTCTAAAGTAATTCTTTTCACCAGCTTCACCTAGCATCTTCACTGTCAGTGTCATCAGCAGTTTATCAAACCCATATTTGACTCACTCTTGGAAACATCTGATGGTTGTAATCATGCATTTAATTTGTTCAGGAGAGCTTGATCCTACATTATCAGTCTAATGATTCTGTATCATCCCCATTGCCACTTCACAAATAACTTTCACATAAAATGTCACTTAGGCCCACCCAACTAGCAATAAAAAAAATGAGTGACACTAATGAAGACTTGTATGAACATCTTTGCCACTTTAAGCATATTGTTTGTAAGATATACTGATGCTGAATAGTGTGACCCTAATAATTTGTTATATACTGCAGGGTCATTTCAAGAGAGAGTTTGGCTTTCTTTGGCAAAAAACATTGGACCAGGAAAGGTAGTGTCATATGGAGAACTAGCTAAGATGGTGAACAGTCCAGGTTTGTCTCACTGTTTTATTAATTTCGCTTGCTTTGTAGTTGAAAAGATAAAATTCTCTCTCTTTAACCTTGTTTCCAAAATGTCTAGCTGCATGTTTTCTACATGTCCATCTGTATATTGCCACAAAATGAACTCTACTAAGATCAGTGAATTCTGGTGGGACTACATTGAAATAACTTGATGTTTTCTTTCAGGAGCCTCACAGGCAGTTGGAAATGCAATGGCAGCAAATTCACTGCAGATTTTGGTCCCTTGTCACCGTGTTATTCGTAGTGATGGTTCAGTGGGGCAGTATGCAAAAGGTAAAAAGAACAGCGTGAAGAATTGGTTACTGCAGCATGAGGGGTGGAATATTGTCAATAAGAAAGTTGTAGGATTAAAGAACATTTAGTATGCCGTTTCCAGTGCTTTTGTTGCTACATTATGGACAAGAAGACTAGCATACTAGGCCCTTATTCCCAAAAATTGGTGATGGATTATATAAGTAGCCAAGTGTTAATCCCATATGTAAACTATTCAGTTTTCATTGTAAATTAGCAGTAAATAATTTCATTCTAATGTTTTGTGGGGAGAAGCTATGGCAAACTATTGGTATTGATATGAGTGGCTCGCAAGATATATTTTATTGGCACTTTAGTGAGACAAGTCATCAAGGATGGTCTTCTTACTGCTTCATTGGAAACAGCACAAATCCTAATAACTTAGAGGTAAGATTTAAAACTGATAATTCATTCTACTGTTGCCCCCCCCCCCTTTCTTTTAAAATTTCCCCAATTTGTCCCTTGAAACCTAATCGTTTATAACTTGAGTTAATCTCATTTAATTTGTATTGTTTCCATGCACAGCACTTGAAATGAAATCAGCATGATTATTACACAAGAGTTAGCAGAGAATTTTATACCGTCCTGTGTAAGTTTAAATATATGTTAAATGTAATGTATGCCATTCTTCTCTATTGTTTGCATCACCTACAGTACCAGCCCTCCCTAACTGATTAACTCAACACAAACATTAGCTTCCCCTGGTGCTTTTAAAAAATTTAAATTTTTTTTTTGTTGGTACTTCAGTATATGTTCAGCTCCTTTGTATACCATTTCCCCATTCACCTCTGCTTCCCTATGCCTGAGTTCCAAATTAAAGTGCTGCCTCCATATGTCAGTTACCGCCACATTGTTTCCAATAGTATTATCTTTATCCTGACACATGGTAGTCCTTAGTTTCAAGGCAGCCTTTATACTGTTATTTCTGTCAAAGTACAACTTGATCATTCAGTCTGTATTTTAGCATGTAAGGTTTAATATACAACTGTATAATCTCATTTAGTTACATAGTTTTGTTTGTTTAATAAATATGCACACTGCAATTTGTAAGGGGTAGTTAAAGTAAATTAGCATGAGTTTCCAAAAACCTTTACATCCCTTAACTGAAGATATTATTTCAGTGCTGTAAAATTATATGTATCATGTACATGACACTAAGGAGTCGGGGTGGCATAGTTGGTATAACAACTGGCTACAGGCTGGATGATTGAAGAGTTGGAGTTAGAGTCCAGTAGGGTCAAGAATTTTCTCCAAATCGTCTGGACTGGCTCTGGGGTCCACCCAGCTTCTTATCCAATGGGTACCAGGAGTAAAGTGGCCAGGGCATGAAGCTGACCACTCACCTTCAACTAGTGCCAAGGTCAAGAAAATATGTATGTATGCATCCACTCCCCATATGCCTTCATGGCATAGTGCTTAATTTGTTGAAAACAGGGACAACTTTACCTTATCTTTTACATGACAATAAAAAAGAGCAGTGAAGAAGAAGATGGAATTTTGAATTGTATAAATTGTATTGTTACAGATACCTCCATTGCTAGGTAACGAGTTGTAAACAAGTTAACCTTGAACACAAACTCTTGATAAACAGTCGGTTGCTAGGTTAATCAGCAACAGAGGAGGCTGTGGTTTGTATGTTGTCCGTTCCGCGCAGCAGTGGAAACAGCGGGATTATGTAGCCCAGTGCAAGGCAACATTTCTGTAAACATGGTATGTGCAAGCAACAGCAGAGTATCCTGGCGCAGGAGTGGTGATGTCACAGAGCAGCAGTAGGTGTCTGTCACCTTGCTCACGTGCGGTGACAATCACAGAGCAACAGTGGGTAGGGGTTGTGTGATGTGTTTACTGTTGGTCAGTGATGGCCCCTCAGCTATATAAGTGAGCAGAATTCCTGGAGAAATAGTAGTGGCAGAAGCATGTGAGTGAGTGAATTGCAACCAGGAGTACAGAAGAGTAAAGGAGGTCAGCCTGTGAGGATTTAACATGTGATTTGAAGACTTTCTTTATGTGTAATAGTTGGAGTGTATAATCCAGTGAGACTGTTATAGCCAGATCTAGCAAAATATATTAAAACTGACAGGCTGAACTGGGCAGGGCACATCATACAAATGGATAATAATCTGACAACTAAGAGAATGTTTTGACACCATGCCAGAAGGAAAAAGGGGGATTAAAGATGTAAACTGAGATGAACTGAAATCAATTAATTACAATGTAAACGTAATTAGGATATTGGTGAGAAAGCCCGAAGGAAAGAGACCGCTGAGAAGACCAAGATGTAGGTCGGTGAACAATATTAAAATGGATGGGATGGTATGGATTGGATTGATCTGATTCATGATAGGGTCCAGTGGAGAGCTCTTGTGAACACGGTAATGAACCTTCAGGTTACAAAAAATGCTGGGAAGTTCTTGAGTAGTTGCACAATTGGCAGCTTTTCAAGAAGGGGTCAACTCCATGAGTGAGGGATTTGTGAATTTCTAAAGGTGCTATTTTTTAAATTTATAAATACATAAAAAACTAACTGATAAACATATCTTTCAGATAAAAAATCAACATGCTAAGATGGATGCTAAAGTCATCCTTGTGCTTAACTAATTAAGCACTATGCCATGAAGGTGTATGGGGGAGTGGATGTATAGATCCACATTTTCTTAATCTCAGCACACGGAGGTGAGTGGTCAGCTTCATGCCGCTGCTGCTTTACTCCTGGGTACCCATTGGATAGGAGGCTGTGTGGGCCCCAGAGTCAGTCTGGATGTAGAGAAGAGAAAATTCTTGACCTTACTGGGACTTGAACCCTGACCCCTTGGTCATCCAGCTACGAGTAGTAACCAGTCACTATACCAACTGTGCTATCCCAGCTCTGGTTCCTGAGCAAAAATAATAAATGTAACTGATGCTGTGTTACCTTTAAATCACAACTGATTATTGCTTGTAGACCACTTGCTGGCTGCTAAAATACTGAACAATGAAATCTGACTGTTGCTTGCCAAACTGCTGCTAGTTACTGAACACTGAAAAATAGCGAAATCCATGTGACCCATAAAGCCCGTTTTGAGGAAAATGATATCTTATTTTTGGGCTCGTAATACCGGTACTGTTATTTTCAAGTGTTTGGTACCTCTCCAGAGAGGTCCTCTGCAATCATGCAATTTGGTCAAAAAAGGTACAATGTGGAATTGTATAAAGAACACACTTTTACACACACACACACACACACACACATATATATATATATAAATAAAAGAGGGAATATGCAATACAGGAGACTAGTGGCATATATGAGAATGATTTATTTTCACTGAGGAACTGCATTATAATTTCTCCACTGTCATTAAAAACTAAATATAATGTCTTCAAGAACAGCAGGAAAATGATGCTGAATTTGTGAACAGGCTTTTCAATATTGCATCCTTGCTCCAGCTCGTGCTAAAGAATCTGCCATTTCATTGCCAAGGTTTCCTCGGTGGCCACGGACATGATCCTGTAAGACAGATGCATTTCACAGAGAAATATCAAAGTAAGGAAATGTAAACAGTTGTCCCTGTGCTTAATTAAGCACCACAAAATAAAGATATATGGACGTATAGCTCCATGCATTCTTAACTTTTAACACCAGGAAGAGGGAAGTGGTCAGTTTCATGTCGTGGCTACATTACTCAACTCTTTCCTCTCTTCTTGATGTGTTCCAGCATCTGGTTGAACCATGTTCTTCTGGATCATCCTACTGTTCTCTTTCCTTTAAATCTCAATTTTAATTTCCTTCTCAGTCACAGTGAGACTGAGAGTTGAGATCCGTTGCCAGGAGAAGGGTAGTGGAAACAGACTCTTAGGTATAATGTTGGTGTCTCCACCTTATCGTGGTGAGGGGGTTTGAGTATGCCAAGGACCCTGAGAGCTATACCAGCGGTAGCGTAGCTACTGGCAGGGCCTCCCTTGCTGGACAGGTCAAAGGGTAGGCATCAGATGAAGAGAGACACCAAAAACCAAAAACTGATGCCGGAAGCAGCGTCATCAGCAGCGACTTGAAGCACAGAGCAAATGATGCTCGAGATGGTTCAAGTTCGTATAGCAACAGGCGTGACCAGAGTGGTTTGAACGGCTGTTGTACTGCGATGTGGAAAGCAAATGGAAAAACTACCACATTATCACTTTTCCTGGATAGTCTCTTTCCAAAAACAGAAGATCGCATTAAGTGGAGAAACTGTTTTTGAAGAGACTGTGGACCTGTCGTCTGACAGATTACTGATGAATGAATTATTGTTCTATCCTTTCTGCATGGCCATACTGTAATCATTTTTCTAATTCTGGCAAATTTTTAATTCAAATTCTTTTAGTCTTTCAATATTAGTATCTTTGTTTTACATACCCATTTGACACTTATTCCTTCCAGTGCTTGATCTAATTCTATCAAATCTTCCTTGTTCTTAACTTGCCCACCATCAGATAATTTCCAGCCATTCTGCTTCCATTTGTGAATCCACACAGTAATACAACTTATTAAAAACTGTGAATCTGTGTGAAGTAGTAATTTTCTGACACCTGAAAAAATCAAAAGTGTACTAAATCTTGATAAAAAAATGGTTACCTTTCTGCCTTTGATGTGGTACCTCAATACTACTATAAGAAGGCATATGTACATTTCAGGACATGACCTCATGAAAAACGTTTTTGAAGAATTATGTGGTTTATACACCTCTTCACTGATCACCGAATATTTGTTTTATATTTTTGCAGCACATTAATTTGTTCGTAAAATTTAAGTTCCCAGCTGAAATTGGACAACTGAATTGCTTCCACATGGTGAAAACTGTAAGTCTTTATCAACCTTAACAAGACTTCAGCCTTCCACAATTAGGTGTACCTTGAGAGTTAGTTTTTGGTTATGATTTTTATGTATGAACAGGATTAAATGGTCACTCACTCATGGAGCTGAGCCCTTCTTCAGAAGCTGCCAATTGTGCAGCCACTCAAGAACTTCCTAGCATTTTATGATATCCAAAGGTTCATTACCGTATTCACATGAGCCCTCCACCATGCCTTTTGATGTTGTTCTTTCTTCCATGGGAAACTGAAAGGTTCTTGTCATAAATCTCACAGCATACCCAGGAATCATCCACCACCAATTCTACAAAATTACACTTTTGTAGCCAGACGTTTTCACAGTGCATAACCTCCTCTTACATGTAGGTTCATCTAAAATTTCTGACATTGCTAACCAGGTGGAATGAAAATAGAACCGGGATGGTTTTCCCCTTTTAATTCATAGACATAAATTATGAAAATATACTGAGTGATGTATATAGTCTGTGTTCCATCTAAGACCTACAAACATATTACAGTAGTTTAAATGGCATGCATTAAAATAAAGTCACACATGCATTACGAGTACTTATCTTTAGAATATTTTCCAAAAAAGGTATTGTACATTGCATTTACTGCCAAAGAAGTAACAGGATGCTTTTAAGCCAGTTAGAAAAGAACCGGGATGCCATCCCGCCCCACCTCAAGCCCTGTTGCTAACCCTTTCTGTCCACTTTCATTCTTGACCTTCCACAGAATATGAAACCCACAAAATTGAAAATTAATATTACAATAATTTTTACTCTGTCACACAACATGACAGCACTGCACACTATGGCTCTCTCAAACACCCTGAAACTCAACTGACTGATATTCAACAATCAGTCATGTTGCAACCTAGTTAAAACACTAAGTATTACAGAATTAAGGTGACAGAGTCCACACTACTCTGCAGCATATTATTGCCAGCTGTTGATTTGAAAGCAGTGTGATGTCCTGTAAAAGCAATTAATCTACTTCTCCAAAACACATACCCTCTCTCATTGTTATTACCAATTGTGTGTCCAGTAGGCAAGAAACAATATATGTTTTCTTACAGCTGCTGACATGTGGAATTAATTTTACTCTGTTTTAAGTAAGATAGTGTGCAGAGCATTATATTCAACTTTAAAAACAATTATGTGAATTAAAAAAGTAACATTTTAGAAAGTAAATGTGACAGTCTGTAACCCTAGTCTCAACATGTTTCAAGACTTCATCCATAAGTGTACTGTTCAGTTACACTTCATTCCTGGCTTCTCTAGCAGTACCACCTAATATCTTCTGAATATAAGATGTCTCCCCTCGTTGGTGTCTCCACCTTATCATGGTGAGGGGGTTTGAGTATGCCAAGGACCCTGAGAGCTATACCAGCGGTAGCGTAGCTACTGGCAGGGCCTTCCTTGCTGGACAGGTCAAAGGGTAGGCATCAGACGAGGAGAGACACCAAAAACCAAAAACTGATGCCGGAAGCATTGTCATCAGCAGCGACTTGAAGCACAGAGCGAATGATGCTCGAGATGGTTCAAGTTTGTATAGCAACAGGCATGACCAGAGTGGTATGAACGACTGTTGTACTGTGATTTGGAAAGCAAATGGAAAAACTACCACATTATCACTTTTCCTGGATAGTCTCTTTCCAAAAACAGAGATACCATGTATGCGAGATGCAGAAGATGATAGAAGATGCTGGATGAACTTGAGGACAGAAGAGGATATTTTTATTTGAAGGAGAAAGCTCTAGATCGCATTAAGTGGAGGAACTGTTTTGGAAGAGACTGTGGACCTGTCGTCTCACAGATTACTGATGAATGAATGAATGAATAAGATGTCTTAAATATTGTGCTAGGTTTTCATTGTGATGAAGGATTACTGGGGTGTGGGGGTGGGGACACAGGAGCTATTATGGCAAGGGCTCCTCTCTGCAACCACTGGTGTGAACCTGCTGGTGACGGAAGAGGAAGAAAGACAAAATCTTCCAGTCTGTGCCAGCATGAAGACCTCTACCATGACTTAATCCCAATAAATACCTCAGACGAATTACCCATTAGTACTTCATTGGCAATTTCAAAACTAACAGCAATCACTACACCATTGGCAAGCTGAAACTGCCCCTACCATGGGAATAACAACCCCTAGGCTCCCGACTCTATACAGTGCAGACATATACAGGCACAGAGGACTTCTGGGGACTTGGCAGTTGATTATATCTGAGCTCCCAGTCAGCAGTTATATCAGAATGGCCCAGTCAAACTGACAGTCATTCAGCTGCCAATGTATATGCCATCTGGGTTCCAAACAGGGCACTGTATGGATGTACATGACTTACTGTCTGCACTCTGCACACAGATTTGCAGTGAGAAGGGTCCCCTCCACCTGTATTTCTTGAGTTTTCTTGTATGGATACACAAGCTGGAAGTTGCAACAAAATCAGGGACAGGAGTTTAGTATGTTTAAAGCTCTAATAACTAATAAATAAATAACCCTAGAATAGGAAGAACTGTGATAAACACAAGCAGACACAGCTGAACCATGTGTGGAGATGTATGGTGAATATGGGGATGATGGAGTAAGTGTTCAACATGCAAAGATGGCAAGTGGGGAAGATGAAAGAAAGGAGAATAGAGTGGTATAGATGATGCATTAAAGTGGCAAAACACAAGGAAAATCAAAAAGCCCCTTTTGCACTCCCATCAAATTGCAGATTAACCTACTGTGATGGATTAGCATCTAACAAAACATGACAACAGGAAACATACAGATAGCATAGGGACACTGTTACCTGCTTTCTTTGCTAATTCAATAGCACATGTTGCAGCTTTAATTTCTGCAGTGTTGTTAGTCAGGCGGCCTCTCACTCGTTCAGAATAATTCCTAAGAAAAGTAACAAATTTTAGGCCACAGAAGTGGAAGCTTATAGATGGAAAATATACATGTATGACACTTTATAAAAAGATATACCCAGCATATTCTCTGTATGCTACAAAGTTCCAAATCAGACCCCCAGTTCTCTACTCCTTTAAATGTAAACTGAAACCACACCTCCCTTTCAGAGGAAAGTAATCTTTCTCATCTTACTACTATATTATAACATCCTGTGCAGATGAGGCTTAAGTCAGTGTATATGTGAGCTAAGTATCTGCAGCTCAATATATTGTGACCTCTCTATATGCAGATGTAAATAATATAATAATATAAAGCAACTGGTTCCTCACAGACAATTGTATATGAAAACGAGCAAAATAATAACATGTCAGATTTGAGGCTTTCACAGCGGTGACTATGAAGAAAGCAGTCTTCTGGGATTTGGCACCGTGTATATGTGGTGTTAACCGACGTTTCGGAGGAACGTATCGCCTCCATCTTCAGGGTAGAAGAAAAAAAATTATAAGAAATCTGCAAGCGAAGAGACCATGAGAACCGGTAAAAGCAGACTGTGATAGGCGATACGTTCCTCCGAAACGTCGGTTAACACCACATATACACAGTGCCAAATCCCAGAAAACGGCTTTCTTCATAGTCACCGCCGCGAAAGCC